ACTAAACTAAATTTATTTTGGATCAGTTTGGGTTACACTTTTTCAAACTCAAAAAATCAAAAAATTTAAATCGAATAGTATAAAATCAAATTGAAAAATTGAATGCATACCCATAAGAGGGATGGTTGGGATGAGAGATGTGAGAAATAATCAAGTTTAATTAATTAATACAAATATTTAACATTATTTTCATACATATCAAACGGGTCTCTTAACAATGTGGAAGGACATTAGAACCAAAGGCGAACCCAGGATTGGAAGACGACGGGCACTGCTAAAAGTGAATGTGAGTTAGTGAAGCAATACATAAATATAAATTAAACAAAATTTAGCATAGTTCAATCTATTATTTGATGGTTTTGACCCTTAGTGTACACTTTGAGATGGTTAGTTAGAATCTCGCTTCAGGTTTTTTATTAGGCCTTTTTTGTAAAAACAATTAAAATTGACAAAAAGAAAATAAAACAATAAAAATTGAACTCGAGACACGCAAGTTGCTAAGATGCTCAACGGCGAGGTGTTGGACCACTATACCAACTCAACTTATGTGTTTTAGGGTGCACATTTAATTATATAATCCTTGTTTATGAATATACACACATATACACAATAACAAAATTCAAAGTGAACGGGTGCACATGCACCCACACCCTAAGAGTGGGTCAACCTTTAACTAGAATTAATACCTAAACAAGATATTGTCAATTCATATGTTGAGAAATCATCATGTGATTAAACTTATAAATTTACAAGATGATGAGTTTTATAATTGACACATGAAGGATTGTTGAATGAGATAGAAGGACAAGTATCAATATTGTGGCTTTGAATAGCTTTGGTAAACTCTGTCATGTCCATGGTTCTCCAATTCAATATGTAAAAATAGTTGTGACAGCCAAACCAATTACTATTAGAAAAGTTGTTGGATATGCCATCAACAATGGATGTAATAGAGTGAAGATTCTAACTGATGCAAAAAAATGTTGTTGATATAATTTGGCAATGAGTGATTAGTTCATGAGAGATAGAAGTGATGCGTAAAGATATTTCAAAAAATTTAAGCATGTTGAATCATGTCAGATTTATATATACTCCTAAATGTTTGAATACAATAGTTAATAGTTTGGCTATTTGTTAATCACACACATCTAATTAAATAAGTGTGAGTAGCTCTTTGTCGTCATTTACCTTTTCTACTGACCTAACAATATTGACCATATGTCTGTTTTTTTATTCCCCTAGTTACTCCCTATGTATTTTGACATCCACGTAAATAGATTGTTGCTTTAATGTTCCTTGGAAAAAATCCCCTTCCTTCGTGCCCTAATATGCAAGACCAACAGTACTTTTGTTGTGCCCGACCTTGCTGCTTGTGAGAACGACAAAGTTGCGTCTTCGTTTTTCCTCTCTTGGATCTGCAAATCGTTCCTCTACTTGTGCAAAAATGACGTCTTGTTGTTTCTCTTCACATGTTGTGTCTGTCTATTTCTTGAGTTCGTTCGTCCGATTAACTCACACTTATTATGATGAAAGTATTTTTTTCCCCTACGCTTTGTTGTCTTCGCCAATTTTCTGCCCAATTTGGTAGTTTCTGTGTCAAACAAAGTGAAAAATCAGATACTTCCTTACAATATTGATTATGCTATTACGGTCTATGTTACCATTTCTTTTTATAGTGGTCTATATCCTAGCACGGACACTCCCCTAATAGTATGATACTTAGAGTACGTTTAATACGAAATGTTAAGTTTCGTAGAGAGGGAAAAAATACACATAAGTTGATATGTGACCAATAAATTTGAACAATTTAATACAAAAATCTTGACTACTGGCTAGTGTAATGCATGAAAGATTGATTGGATACTATCCATTCCAATATCAACTTCTCAAACAAATTTTATTAAAGGCAAAGCGAAACAATGTTCAACTAATTTATGAGATTATCAGAGACATCAAAATCAACTGGACATGGCAAATATCTATAACAGACTTAGTTGCCTTTTTTTTTTCTACCTAAAGAAACTAAAGGAATAGTATTACTAGTACTGAAAACTAAGAGACAACTTTTAATTATCTAGTGCTAATTTTCTATTTTGATTTATATGTTTCATAACCTCATATCTAATATCGTGTCATCAGTAAATTGAAAAGATATGCCGTGTCTTATTTAATTGCCTCTTCCCAATAATTCTCTAATTTACTTTTACTTCTACTTAAATTCACTACGGATAATATTTCACATCTCCAAGTTGATTTATCTATGCATTCCTTTTCATATATCCAAATTATTTCAACCTAACTCACCTTATTTTAAATATATCTAATTTTATCTCTCCTAGTAAGTATGACCACACATCTAGTTCAAAATCATCATTTTTCACAACTCTCGTCTTATGAAGATGATATTTTTTAAGGAGTCTCTCAAAGTTCACATTAGTTTTTTTTTTTTTCTATGTTTTTGTTTTAATCATTCAGCTGATGCAACTAATATTTTGGCCTTGGTATTGTTAGATATATATATATATTTTTTTTTTTTTTTTTTTTTTTTT